TATGTATATATATATATGTATATGTATGTATATATATATGTATATATATATATGTATATGTATGTATATATATGTATATATATATATATATCGTTAAATTCATCACATATATATGTACATATATATGTGATGAATTTAAACTTTAATCATGTCCTCTGTTACTGTAGTCTGTTAGCTTTAGATGTATTTATGAGCTGTTCAACATATATACATACTGTGTATATATACATATATATGTATATGTCTGTGTGTGGGTAAATATGTGTACATATATATGTACATATATGTATATATACAGTATGTATCTATATAAATATAAATGTATATATATTTACATATGTATATACTGTATATTCATATATATGTGTGTGTACATATATAACATATTTATTAATATATAAAATATATTAATAAATATATATTATATATATACGCACACACACCCCCCTCTCCCTCCCACCCCCTTGGGCGCTGTGTAAGAATTCTGCATTGAGTGCGTAATCAGCAGGAGTGACCGCCAGCCCAGCAGCAGCAGCAGGAGCAGCAGCAGCAGCAGCAGCAGACGTGCGGCGGCTGCTCTGTCCGTTGAACACCAGTATGAAGATCCACTCGGAGGTCGAGCAGAGCGGCTGCAGCCGCAGGGTCGGAGAGAGGCAGGAAAACCAGCTGACGTGTCTGCAGTGTCAGGAGGAAACGGTCCGCGTTGGTCCGGGGAGTCCCCGCAGTCCGCGCCGCCCCACCGCGACGCGGCTCTCATCGGGATCAGCAGGTACAGTCGTGTAGTTGTACAACAGCACTGAAAAGTTAAACCGTCCAATCACATGTGGGCTGCAGTCGGTGCATCGTCCTGTCTGATAAAACCGCAGCGACCTGTTCTGTTTCTGTGTTTGAGTTGAGTCTGTGTTGACTTTCACTGCGCTGACCTGGAAGTTCGATATGATCAGAACCGTTACATCACTGAAGTTCGATATGATCAGAACCGTTACGAAGTTCGATATGAGTCTGTGTTGACTTTCACTGCGCTGACCTGGAAGTTCGATATGATCAGAACCGTTACATCACTGAAGTTCGGTATTATCAGAACCACAATGACTGTGATATCGCGGCTAACACCGTCATGTGACCAGACACTGACTTCTAACATCGGTTTTACTCCTTTGTGTTTGCCAACACTATGACTGCAGTACTGTTCCTAGCCTGTAGGTGGCGTATATGTCTGAAAGCAGTTAGAGCCAGGTTGGACCACCAGGTTCTTGGTCTGTACTGATGGTCCGTCATGTGACTGGTCTCTGCTCCTCCTCCAGACCGTGAGCCCAGCAGCAGCAGCTACAACCTTTCTTCTGGAACCTTCTACAGCTGCGTCAGTCAGGTTACTGTTGGTAAGTGTCACGGGTTCATATGTTTGGGTTGTGACCCTAGAGCGGATCTGCCTAATCTACGGGCCGTGGACCAGATGTGGCCCACTTGGCCGACCAATCGGTGGTACATCTGTGTCCATCCTTCTGTTTCATGCAGTTCAATGAATCAACTGTCATTTCTGTTGAAACCACTAGGTTGCGGCAGAGGTCAGGTTTGTGAAAGTTGAGTTTTATTGTTGTACATTTGATTGAAGTCCATACAGTACTGTAGAGTATTGATGCAGTATCATGAAAGGAAGTATCGCAGTATTCCAGTCCATGGATATTTCCTTACACGTCCACTGCTGTCAGACCTGGTCCTGGACCTGGACCTGGACCAGGACCTGGACCTGGACCTGGACCTGGACCTGAACCAGGACCTGGACCAGGACCTGGACCTGGACCAGGACTGCAGCTGGTAGATCCAGACCTTCTTTCTGCTCCTTGATCAGTGTTGACTTTCAGACTCAGCCCAACCCTGTATGAGTGGAGTGCACCGGGTGGCCCCCTTCCCCACCCCTCCAACCCTGTCTGAGTGGAGTGCACCGTGTAGCGCACTTCCCCACACCTCCAACCCTCTGTGAGTGGAGTGCACCGTGTAGCGCACTTCCCCACACCTCCATTTGTTTTCCTCCCCCGGAGGCCGACGGGGCTCCATAAGTGGGTCTGTGGTCCTCAGAGAGCCAGGTGGACACGTCCTCCTGATGACTGGACCACAGATGCTGATCAGAACACACTGTGTGAAAAGACTCAGCACTGTGGGTCCTGAAGGTCATTGGACCAGAGCCAGGTCTGGACCAGGTGAGGTGGAGGTTAACCAGCATCAGCTACGAACTCAGTCAACCATTGACTTCTGGTCTGTCCCTCAGTTGATCTTAGAACATTTAGTCTTGGTACTGATTAGTCCTAGTACTGATTAGTCCTTGTACTGATTAGTCCTAGTACTGATTAGTCCTTGTACTGATTAGTCCTAGTACTGATTAGTCCTTGTACTGATTAGTCCTAGTACTGATTAGTCCTAGTACTGATTAGTCCTGGTACTGATTATCTACAGAACCTGTTATTTCTGTGGACCTGGTTCTGAGAATGACCGTTCTGCTAAACTACTCTTAGCTTTAAGTGCTAACCTGAGCTGGCTGTTCTCCCAGGCTGACTCAGCCCAGTGGTGTCCACCGGGGGCAGTGTTTGTTTATGCTGCTCATTCTCAGCTGAACACAATTTGCTTCTAAGATTTTACTTATATTTATGTCCATATATGTTTGTGTGTGTATATGTATATAGAAGTGTGTATATATATACACATATGTATATATAAAAATATATATTTACATATGCGCATATATGTATATGTGAAAAGAAGCAAAATATGTGTATATATGTAAGTGTATATAAGTTGTGTATATATATATATATATATATATATATGTGTGTGTGTGTGTGTGTGTGTATACTCTTGTTTTAGCTCACTTGTGGGGACATGCCTTCCTGGTTCAAGACTCGTCACATGGTTTAGTTACAGTAAACGTAGTAATAATGGAACCAAACCCTGGTCTGAAGCCTATCTCTGTGGATCATCAGAACATCAGAACATCCAACAGAACCTGATTGGTCCACAGCTGCTCCGTGTCCACTCTGATTGAATGTGTACTCTATACTGTCTGTACTGTGTGTTTTTAGGGTTTGACCTCGGGGGTCAAGTGGCCGTGGAGTTCTCCCACTGGAAGAGTCCGTTCCCAGCGAGCAGTCAGAACCTGGCCAGTCTGGACTGTGTCCACTCCGAGGTCTCTGAGGCTCCGCCCATCACTGACTACTTGGAGCCGGCGTCCTGTCCAGCGTCCCTGTCTGTCAGCCCCCTCCCCACCTGCAGTGCCAGTCAGGAAACACTGTGTGGCAGCAGCACCAGTAGGTCAACCTTTGAGTCACAAACGCAGTATATCATGGTACCTGTAGTACTGCAGTACTACACTGGTAACACTGGTACTTGGTGAGACCAGTACTATCAGAGTGTGTACTGGACCTGGAGTGTATTTACTGAAGGACCCAGTCCACTGGGGCCCAGGCCACTGTAGTGACCCAGTCCACTGTAGCGGCCCAGTCCACTACAGTGGCCCAGTCCACTGTAGCGGCCCAGTCCACTGCAGCGGCCCAGTCCACTGTAGTGGCCCAGTCTACTGTGGTGGCCCAGTTCACTGTGGTGGCCCAGTTCACTGTAGTGGCCCAGTCCGCTGCAGCGGCCCAGTCCACTGCAGCAGCCCAGTCCTCTGTAGTGGCCCAGTCCACTGTAGCGGCCCAGTCCACTGTAGTGGCCCAGTCCACTGCAGCCGCCCAGTCCACTGCAGCGGCCCAGTCCACTGCAGTCGCCCAGTCCACTGTAGCAGCCCCGTCCACTGCAGGGGCCCAGCCCCACCCAGCCGCCCCCCCCACC